TTTTTATTTATTCAATACTATCACATAGTCTATTGTAAGGTGGTAGACAGCATATTGGTTGATGTAGTGTGACATCTGCTCTCCAAAATTCAATGACCATTGGACATGATGCTTTGTTAAGTTAGTATGATATCAATGACGTACGATTCAAATCTTGTGGACAAGCAATTTTCTATCATCACTCTGCAGTTAACAACTTCAGTCAATGATTTATAGATCTTCCTCTCTACCCTGTATTATATAAATGGTGTTTTGTATGTTTTTTCACTCATTAATTGTAATCATCATATCTTATTAGAAACTAATGGGGCAAGAATGAATTTTTCATAGTGAATAATCTGAAGTCTGCTCTTTTTAGTGATGCTAAGTATATAGCAGTTTACTGTCTAAGACAAAAGTGTACCTCAACTAAAGTTAACAGCCTGTTTTACTTACTAAATTTTGTAACTATTAAGTTCCACCATGAAAACACAAATGTTATATATCAAATTATAGCTTAAAATATGCTATATTTAGCCTGAAAATCTAGAAATAATAATGTGCAGTGGGGTGGAGATACAAGTGTTTAAAGAGTTAGAGCATAAACAGTTCAAAGGCTTGCGTGAGTGGGTCCTCTGCAGATAAATCTCCTTAAAACAGCACGTTTCCAGACAGTTGCGGTTCGACTGTTAGTACTTACTAGTACTTAGCTATGTCCCATACTTATGTTAGGAGTCCCCTACTTGGCTATTGTTTTAGGGTTTAGGGATTAGGGTGGCGGTTTTTTTAGAGCGACCCTACTCATTTTAGGAGTCCCCAAAGTTAGTTTAGGGTTTAGTTGTTTTTTTTAATTTTAGAGTGTTCCCTAGTCATTTTAGGAGTCCCCAGTTATAAGTGGTAGAAATAGCCACTGCCATAAAAACGGAGTTTTACGGAGATGCACGGAATGATAAATCCTGCGCCTAGTGGCTTTAACTTTTGCAACCTTGCTATACTGGGAAAACGAGCTCCCGTGCTTACCAGACTTCTTAGAGGACCTTATCTTGACCAGAGGACTCCATTGGTACCAGTAGTGTGGCTCTAAACCTTGTCTAAGAGGACAATGAAAAATCGGCAAAACAGCCATTTTGTTCAGCCACCTTTTTCATCTTCATCTTCATCTAGTGCTCTCAATCCAGTTGTCGGTCGATATCTCAATCTTGCCTGGTGATAGAAGGCTAATTCTTACACCATTCTACTCCAACAGGGTACACGCAGGTCCTTGTCTCCTAGAATCATTCTCCAAGAAAGACAGAAGTGATACTGACTGTGACTGTTGGATTGCACCAGCTTACCTCATGCCACCATTTTGTTAATTAAAGAAGCATGTGCTCCAAAATTTGGGTGTGGTCGCGCATGCTCAGATCTCAGA